TGAAGTAAAGGAGGTTAATAGGATTGTCCGACCCTACTAGAGTGCTCTACTTCAAGTTTGTGCCCCAATGATAGGCGCAGGAGTTGTTTGAATCATCGCGAATTCCGCCGCGCAATTTGCCGCGTGCTCCCGGAATCGCACGAATCGAACGTCCCCCCCCACTCGAGGACATCGCAGAGACTGGTGTACTTACTCTAGGAGCCGAATCCTTTGTGAAGAAACGTGATATTTTTCTGCACATGAGCTCCATTGGGCGATGCCACACCCCCAACTATTTTGTTGCGCGCAGATGAGGTCTACTGTGTTTCGCAAGTACGAGTCAAGTCAGGTTGACAGGTCGATAAGTTCTATGTCTGTAGAGAGGCTATGCTACAGCATATCGCATAATCATTGCCGATTTACCCAACGGTGAAGGGTTTGATGAGTGCCTCGATATACTCTTAATTGACTAAACGCGGCAGTCGGTCCATTCGACGAGCTGTGACAAGTTCTCGTTTTTTCTTGCTGCAAGTGATCGTGGTGACCAGTGGTATGACTGCTAATCATAGGTAAGATTTATGAAGACTTATACATATAGCGGTACTTTTTGGCCAGCACTGCGAGTTTCCCAATGTCGCGGCAGACCCCACAGCCGCTACGTTACATAGTTTTATGTATGTTAAAAGCATGCGGTGGCTCCGCCTCCTGATCTTAGTTTCTCCCGACCGAGGAGACAATACGGTCGTTCCTGATTTGTAGTCTTCAGTTGTTCCTCGCCTTGTACGCCTTGTAGTCTTCAGTTGTCTCTCGCCTGTAGTCCTCAGTTGTGGCTTGCATTTGGTAGTCATCAGCCTTTATCAGCCTATGACCGTCATCAGTCGCACAATAAAGTCTTGGTAAATAAAATCTGTGTGTTGAAGCCCTCACAGAATTCTGGTGCATCGGCCAACCATAACCCAAAAAGTCCCGTGTGGCACACGAAAACCAGTCTTCTACCCAGACGAACAAGAGAGACACCGGATTCAACTCAAAATGAGCAAAATAACACTTCTCTTGCAGAACTTGGAGCATGAGCACA